CGCGAACTCCCGTTAAGGATGTCGGTCTTTAATAGTATCCAATAGTATCTCGTCGGTGCTAAATGCGTCACGCTTTCAGTAGTGACATTTCTATATATGGTTAAGAAGTGCCTTGAATCTTGAATTGTAAAATAGCAAGTTCGAGTCAAGTTATCACCGAAGGTAGTTATCCAACCGATCTCGCTCAGCTGCTCCAATTTTCATGAAATTATGCTCGTTTAAAGAATTTGATTTTTTATCAAATCTTTTTTTACATGTGGTTTTGCCCACCGAAGCAAGATATTAGTTGTAGAAGTTTACCGCTATTGAGGTTACAAAACCTGTCATATCATAATTGACAATAATCTCGCTTCGCGAGGTAGAGCCACATTTTTTCTGCCAGATTCATTCGTTTCGTACAAAAACGCGTCAAATGAATATAATTTCATTACAATTAGAACTAAAAGAAGTTCTGGATAAATATCTTTTAATCATATTTAGTTGTATTTATTGTTAATATATTTATTTATATTTATAATGTTAATACAGGGTGTTTGATAATTGTTCTGACGGAGTTCGTGGACATGTAGATCGGAATAAACTGAGACGGAAAATCCTCTACCATTTTGCAATTTTCGTAATAATTAACAAGATATTAATTGCTAAAAATTGCCAAAAATTGGTCTTCTCAATAATTTTTTACTCAAATACTATCAACTTTACAGAAAAACTGCAAGAGATGAAAATTGTTTATTTCTCATAGAACTCTCATAAAACTTCTCATAGAACAAATTTTTTCAGAATTTTTTATCAACTTTTTAGTAGTGCATTTTCTCCTGTTTATCAACATAAGAAAATACGGTGTTAAAAAATTCTGGACTTTCCATCTCAGTTTAGTCCGCTCTACATGTCCACGAACTCTGTCAGAACAATTATAAGACAGCCTGTATATTAATTTGATATTTAATATTATCGACCATATTATATATATATATATATATATATAGAGAGAGAGAGAGAGAGAGAGAGAGCTTTTTCGCGTTGTAATTTTTTGTATCTCATTTATGACATTTCGATAAGAAAACAATAAACACAGAAGGTATTTACAAGCCATTTTTCCAAATTGACAGCAATATGGAAGCTGTACTTCAACAGAAAGTCATAGAAGTTGCCAATCATGTTGAGCAGCAGTTGGATGCAGAATTAGAAAAGTTAGACACTTTGGATATCAATGATTATGAAAAAATACGTGCACATAGACTGAATGAGCTCAAACGAATGCAAAAACAGAAGCAGGATTGGCTAGTTTCGGTAACGTGACTTGACATGTTTATTTGTTTCAAAATATTTAATACTAGAATTCTTAAATATTGTATATTAAGAATATGTATATAAATTTATGTCAAATTGTATAATTTATACAAAATAATATACAGGGTGTCTCAGAAATAAGGTCGGAGCCGCATTGGGGGCGTAGAATGAGTCAAGGGGAACAAAAAAGTCTGATACCATTTTGAGATTATTTGCTAATATTTGGCGAGTCCTATAGGACCGCTCCCAATGCGACTCCGACCTATGTGGCGGTCCTATAGGATTCACCAAATATTAGCGAATATCTCAAAATGGTATCAGACTTTTTTGTTCCCCTTGACTTATTCTACGCCCCCAATGCGGCTCCGATCTTATTTCTGAGACACCCTGTATAACAAAATATGTATAACTTTATATTGTTACAGGGTCATGGAGAATATGCCGAGTTATATGACGAGAAAGAATTCTTCGAAGTATCTAAAAAGTCAGAGAATATAGTTTGTTTATTTTATAAAGATGATTCTCCACGATGTAAAATAGTGGATCATCATTTCAAGATTCTTGCGAAGAAACACATTGAAGCAAGATTTTGCAAACTAAATGTTGAAAGATGTCCCTTTTTGACTGGTATTATTGAAACATCTTTCTGTTATTGTTAGCAATATAGCAATATGAAGTGTATTTAACTCTGTTAGTAATATATATTTATGCATTACAGAACGGTTACGTATTAGAATTATACCTACAATTGCGCTAATTGTGAATGGCAAAACCAAGGATTATATCGTAGGCTTTACTGAATTAGGAAACTGTGATGATTTTTCTACAGAAACATTGCAGTGCCGTCTTGCACAATCTGGTGTGATCAATTACGATGATGATCTGGAATCAGCAGAAACTGGCAAGAAGCCATTTATATTTAGACCTTCAAAACCCAAGACCATCAAGGGACGCAACTCGGATGACTCTGATGATGAATGCATCTAGATATAAAAGATTTATGTATATTTATTTGAAATATCTAAAAAATATAACTTTGATGTGGACTTTCGAAATTAAAAACAATAGGAATCAGACAAAGCAAATAAAAGTACAGCGTGGCGTAATTTATTATTAGCAATGCGCAAATAATATAAAAACTTTTATAAATTTATTTTAATATCATCTATGTTAATTGAACTTTTCAACTCTTTTTGAAGTTTCTTTGAAGTAAATTTTGATGTAACAATGAATACACGAATTCTATAATTGATCGGTGTGTGAGGCCTTCGAAGAGAATCGAAATGTTCATTTAATTATTTTAATGGATGACATGAAAATAATTCAGTAAAAGTTTTTATATTACTAATTCTGCATCAACCACGTTGTGTACTCTTTATTTCCATTGTTTGGGGGTTCTATTCATATTTATTTGCATTTTTTTTATGTATTATAAACTTGAACATTGTTTTTGTCTCATTTAATATATAATAAGCTTTTTTTTATAATAAAGTTAACAAATAAATTTTATATTTTAATACTTGAGATGTATCTAGTTTTTTAATCATAATTCTCTATACTACATATTTTAAATTATATTTAAATTAAAATATTTTAATAAATAATCGAAATATTATAAACAATCAAAGATGTTAATATAATATTTATGTAACTTCTTTCATTATTAAAACAAGATAAATTATTTAGTTATATTATATTTATTTCATAATTTGAGAAATATATACTTTATTATAATTTTTTGCATGCCATTTGTAACAAGAGATGGAAGAGCCATGAATAAAGAGAATTTAAAAAAATAAAATAATTGCATTTAAACTTATAAAAATGGACAGAAACTATTTCTTATCTCTCATAAATAAAGAAATAGTAAAAAATAAATAAAGTGAAAATATGGAAAAATTATGATTCCACTATGGCCGCGACGACTAATCGGAAACTTTAAATGTTCTTTCAACTTTATTTTCAATTTCAGAAGAAAAAAATCATAGAAAGTTACATTAAGTGAATACGGTGACTGGTTGATCAAGCATTAGAACATCTTTTGAGATAATATCCATTTTTTATTATATTATTTTTCTCAAAAACATACTCCCATTTTTTGTTATAGTAAATAATGTAATGTAGAGAAATACAACTCTATAGAAAGTAAATTTTCTAGAAAATAATTCTGTATTTTAACAGTCATAGTTCTATAGTAAAAAAAAAGCTTAAAAGCTTTTGAGACAGTGTATAAATCATAACATACATTTAATCTTTGTATGTTTACAAGAATAATTTCATAAAAATAAGAGATATGATATTTTTTGGATTTTATGATAGAAATCAAAACAATAAATTTATGGAACTATAAATAAAGAGATAGTAACTTTCATGTGTTGTGTATAAACTGTAATTTATTTGCAGATTCTATTGCGAAACATGAGAGATTGCTGTACAAGTTACGGAGAATATCACAGTAGTAATGCAATGATAAGTCATACATAGTTAACTAATTTTATAATGTAACTTTTAAAATGTTCCGAAATATTTGTAATTTATCTTATATAATAAAAAAGAAACTATCACACAATGGAAAAAAGCAACCAACACACATTGTATTAATTTTTTTATACGTTAGAAGGTATATGTGTTTAAATATGTTTAAATTCGTCTATAGAGTAATGAAAATTTATGTTCCACTTACATTTTAGGAGAAAACATTAATTTTTTAATTTAAAAAACTGTTGAAGTATTAAGTCGATCGGGATGTACGTATAAATAATGTTCAAACTAAATATTACAGTAACGTTATGTATATGAACCAAAATAAAATATTAAAAAAGTTTTAATGATCAATCATGAACATCACTTATAAAAGTATTACAAGACAAATATCTCGTTTACAATATCTGTATTTCATAGCACTGCAACATAATATACGATACGACAATAGATGTTTTTCAGCAACGTATACAGATAACCCTGTGTAACACAGTGTACGATTCCATGTTTTTCAGCTATAACATAACCGATGCAATCATGCACGGCTAAAATACTGTGTCCTCGTTTTATATCACTTTACGAACACCAAATTTTTTACATTACCATTTATTTTTCTAGGAGTAATACTCTGATAAAAGATTTCAAGATTATATTCGGACATAGGAATACGATACCTTTTTTACTCTGAAAATAGAAAAGCAATATTTTAGCTACAAGTCGACGCTATTACTGTATCATACAGTGTATGATTGTATTCCGTTGCTGAAAACACGCTATATTTACAAGTAGGTATATGCAACGTCATTATCTCTTGTGAGTGTGTGAATGCGTGTGTGTGTGTGTGTGTGTGTGTGTGTGCGCGCGCGCGCGCGCGCGCGAGTGTGCGTATACACATATAAGAATATGTAAAAATTATATTAGATTTTATGTTTATCACTGCTTATCTAATACATGGAATCCCATTATGCTAATCTAATACTTATTGGGCAATGGTAAATTTATTTAAAAACTTATGTTATAACTAATTAATACAAATTTATACTTTTCTGAAATAATAAAATAATAGTCTAACAAATTAAAAATTTTCAAGTATAATTTTTATGTTTCTTAATCTAAATTTTAAAATTAATTAAGATACAATTCAAAAGATAACAAAAAAACAAATTTTTCTTATTGACAACGAATTATATTTATTCATTATGAGATTTAAATGCATAAAATTGCGCATGAATTTCAGATCATTATTCATATATGAGAAAATCACATATGTGTATGTCTTCTACCTTTAATACGGTTTACCAAATTACAAATCTTAAGTGCTGGCCCAAGTTTTAGTCCCATGTACTTCATCATCATATCACTATTGAGAAGAAGTAGGGCCTTGCCATCAATTTCCTAAAAATTATCGTTGTTAATTTATGATAAAGTAAAATGTTGAATGCCTATTTATATTTAACTCACATGCTTCTTGAATAAATCTGCATGTTGTCCTAATACTGGATCTGTAATGGCAATAAAATGTATTACATCTTCAATAGTCCATTCTGCTGGTTCAATGGGAAGAGTGCGACTTCCAGAGGCTTCATTGGATTGAGTAGTAGACGTCGCTGCTTCCAATTCTGTGTACGTAAATATATTTCTTAATCAGTATGTCACTTCACAAAAATGCTAGTTAACCCGACGTCATTGTGATGCTAAAAACGTTACACGAACGTTGAGGTGAATCATGATAACACGAATATTTTTTTGGTCTATTCTCGCAATGTCAACAACGGTTTTAGAAAGTTTTAGCTCCAGCTACAGGGCGGTTAGTTAAAATCTATGAAGTATGTAAGAAAATACAGATGTTTAAAAATGTCTCGGGTTGATTATGACTCAGCCACAATGACGCCAGGTTAATATCAGTTAATTTCATATTAAAAAAAAAAGCTTTCAAAATAGCGTATTATATTATCCTAAACAATAAAGTAATAACTATCTACTATATGTCTTTAAATAATAATTATAAATATCCTTATAATTCGCAGGTTATCATTAATTAAATTGTCCAATAAAATTTGACCTTTTTTTCCTGCGACGAGCAGGACCAGTATTTCTTAATAAATTCAAGGTCGCTGAATCCAAATCCAGCCAGCGAAAAATGCGCATTACATCAGATTTTTTTTTTAGATAAATCGAATAATATGAACAACGTTTTTTAGTCATATTTACCATTTTATTGTGGCCGAACGAAATTTTGTTTTTTAATTTCATTAATGTCACTCTAAAGAGCTAATCTTCACCTTTAAAAGAAATTTCTATTTTTTACTGAGTATTTTTTTTCGAGTTATGAACATTTTCTGAAATGTAAAATGGAGGTCACTGCTTATGAATCTGAATTCAAAATTACGAAATTCGAAATGGTAGACTTAACATGGACTAAATTGATAAAAATATAGATACTATTTTAATACAAATCTATCTACTTTCCGATTTCAATCCGTTAATTCGGATCCGCCATTTTACATTTCAGCAAACGTTCACAACTCAATAAAAAAAAATCGCACAGTAAAAAAATGCAAATTCCTTTTAAAGGTGAGGATTAAAGGAGTGGCATTAATGAAATTGAAAAATAAAATTTTGTTTGGTCACAAAAAATGGTAAATATGATAAAAAAACGCTGTTTTTTTGCTCATATTACTCGATTTATTTCAAAAACCTGATGTGATGGGCATCTTTCGCTGGCAGATTTGGACTCAGCGACCTTGAATTTATTAAGAATACTGGCCCTGCTTGCTACGGATTTTCTTGTTGGACTATGTTATAACAAAGCTTTATAAAAAATATGAAATACCGGGAATAGATTTGCGAGATTGCTTCGCAGATGTAGGAGATGGTTCTGTAGAATGATTTATACTCTGCACAGGAGTTTGCTGAACATGCTGTTGCTGAGTTGGCGTTAAGTTTTGTTGACTTTCCGATGACCATCTTCGTTTCTCTCCTATAGAGCCATTTGCTACTTCATCATTAGTGGATTGTGGTTGTTGTAGCGAAGATGTGGGACATTTGCTACAAGGTTCTTTTCTTTTAGTTAACATGTATTCGCATGCATGAAGATCCTCAAGTTGCTGTCTAATATATGCATAGAAGTCTTCTTCTTCCAAAAAATGAGATAATTTAACAGCAGCAGGTTTTTTCAAAGTTCCCATACTCAAAGTTACAGTTTCGCCATCACCATTTCTCAGTAAACCCAACATTTGTTTGGGATTCAAGGCTGCCATTAAAAATGCTTGGAAGATGTCTCTTGCAATACATGTCATAGAACCAGGACCAAATTGCGCTGGCAGGACTTTCACTTTTCGAATATCAAAATATGGCCCACAGTGACATTTATGGTTGACATAAAGCGTAACTGCAATATACAATTAAATCATTAAAAATTTTTTGCGTGAACTTTATCGTTTCTTGTACAAAATATAGCACATCACCTGAATTGGTTGTAGAATCGGGTAAGATAAATATCGCCCTTTTGCGCCATCCGGACGAAAAGAAAAATTCATCTTGCTCGCTGAATGAATTGGTGATTCTTCGATTCTTACAAATAATAATAACGCTCAAACAAAATGCTGTTAGTCCATTATACATTCGCGAGTCTGTCGTTCGCTGTCCACAGATACATACATTTACAATTATAATTAAACCTATCAGTGAAAAATATAAAAAAGCCCATCAAAGCCCACATCGGCTGTTCGGATGCACAGAAAACTCTTAATTTTCGTGTGAATGTTGACTAATTCTGTGTTGTTATTACGGAATGCTGTGTCGTGTTCCAATTTATATGATTTCTATGTTTATTTATGCGTGTTTTCAAACATCTACCTGTTTGGCTTACATATGATGCTTCACACTCTCGACAATCAATTTTATATACAACGTCTGATTGAAGGGTCGAAACGTTTATTTTATTCGTTTTGTTACGTTCACACGAAAATTAAGAGTTTTCTGTGCATCCGAACAGCCGATGTGGGCTCTGATGGGCTTTTTTATATTTTTTACTGATAGATTCTATCCGAACCTCATTTTATATATTTGTTTATAATTAAATCTGCATGTGATACTATAATTCAACACCCTCCTTTGTAATTTATTCTGATTTATGTATTTATTTATTCTGATTTACTGATAGATTCTATCCGAACCTCATTTTATATTTGTTTATAATTAAATCTGCATGTGATACTATAATTCAACACCCTCCTTTGTAATTTATTCTGATTTATGTATTTATTTATTCTGATGTATGTATCTGTGAACAGCGAACAATAGACTCACGAATGTATAGTGGACTAACAGCGTTTTGTTTGAGTATTATTATTTGTAACAATCAGAGAATCACCACTTTATTTGTGCAATCACCAGAAACTACATGGATAGAAACGGTGATAACCCGCAAACCTTCTAGTATCTTTTAAGATAATGTGAATAATGTGAAAGCCTAAAAAGTGTTACCAAAAACAACGTTTTATTACATTTGATTCCAACCACGTTCTGATACTTCCGACCCGACCCGGGATCAGCTAAAATAAAAACTGAGTTCCTACAAGTAGAGCCAATGGCACACGATGCTTGTTTTCCTGGATTAGAATCTTGCCACTGTATTGGCTGCGGTGCTGTCAGTGCCGGTATCGCAGCCAATCCGGTGGCAAGATTTTAATCCAGCTAGCAATCCATCCAGCAGGAAACCAAGCATCGTATGCCATTGGCTTTATTATTTGGAACTCAGTTTTTATTTTAGCTGATCCCAGATCGGAAGTATCAGAACGTGGTTGGAATCAAACGTAATCAAACGTAATCAAAGCACCGTGTGCTACCGATATAAGTATCGCATACAAAAATCTAAGGAAATACTATAGTATATATATATGCGTTACATATACTATAGCATTTACTTAGTTTTTCGTACGATACTCTTTTCTAAAATAGGGGGTTTGAATCATGTTGACAGTATTGATCGAGCAGGAATGCTGAAATTTATAGTTCCCAAAACTGCCTATTCGCCCAAATGGCGCAGAAATAGGGCTTAACTTTTTATAACAAAGTGTCCATACCCTGATACAGAATTATAATTTACTTACCATTTTCAAGCGGTTTGGTATTGACTGTGCTAGTGTCAGGTTCCGTAGCTGGCTGTAATGGTGCATTGGAGCCTGCAGGTGTTACTAATGCAACTGGAGACTCTCTGTTATTGTTATTTCCAGAGCCAACCGCCATTACAAGAAAAACATTACTGTTGGCTTTAGACCCTCTAAATCCCTTGTTTGAACCTGCTGTAAGTTTAGAATTAAATACATTAAAAATGTGAATTAAAAATATTTAAATATTTAAAACAAGATAAAAGATTAAGAGATATACGTATTAATGAATTTGTAGTTATACAGTTACTTTACAAATTATAAAATATATATTCATGTGTACATTTTTGCCTTGGTGGCTGTAATGGATGTCCACTTTTAAAACACCATCCTGCAGGGAAAATATCTCGAGAATCATAACGACACCAGTAATCAAAAGCACCGCGCCAACCATCAAACGTAATATGTATCTGGTCCTCATTAACTGCGCCAACGGTTGCAGTGCATATAAGCTGTGGATTCTTTTTATCAATTGCTTCTAATTTGTGTCCGACTTCAAACAAATTAGAGCGTGGTGTCTTTGGTTCACGTTTGAATACTTTAGCCGGTGCCATTTCGGCACCATTTAAAGTTTTTAGGAGGAACATTGGCCAACTAGAAGCGTTCATCCGGAAGCCTAGTGGCGGCTGAAGCATCCCGCCAGATTTCTCACAGTGGCCTATCGGATGTATTTCGTTACTATCGACCAACCGCCAGAAATCATTCTTGTTATCAGAGCCATCTAATCTTAATCTTAATCGCGGTCCCAGAACACCTACTACTGTGGCGATACAAGTTGATGTCAAGTTCCGTGGATCTAATGCTTCCAATTTCATATTAATCTTAAATTCATTTGTTGGTGGAACGTCATGCTGAAATCAAAATAATATATAATATACAATGTGTAAGCAATGATAAATCACAAATTAACGAAAAAACTAATAAGTTTTTACAGACCCCTTTAATTAGAACAATTAATAAAATCATGAAATATGTAATACAGGAAATAGGAGTCGACGCTGGTTATCAATTAGCGCAATGTGTAAGCAATAAACAAGCACTGAACCTATATGTTCTGCAGTAACATTAAATAAAAATTGTATGTTGACAGGTCAAATTGCAGTATGCTGTACTGCTGTACCTGCTTGAAGCACTCGAGTGAAGCTGCTTTGCTGTTTGTTTCTTTTAAATAAAGATCCCAATCAAAAGTCTGAAAGGCTTCATATTGCAACGATGCAGTAGATGTTCCAGTAGATGCTGTTGGTGGACGAGATACAGTTGTGTGATTATTTGTATTTGTGTAAGGTTGTGTCGTTTGTGCATTATTGTTGCTTGACAATCCAGATGAAGCTGGAGACGAAGTAGGAGACAGTAACAAAGGATCACTGTTGTCTATAAATTAAACATTTGTTTCAATTTGTTAAAAATTGTTTGAATTGCTATATAAGTTTGTGTAGATTTATGCAAAACTATAGTCACTCACTTTTCTTTGTGTCTGTTTGTGTTTCTTTTTTCTGATACACATTTAAACAGTATGCAGAACAGAAATCCTTTGTTGGAGCATCTTTTTGTTCCAGTCTAAAAGGTGTAACCCTGATCGCTATCACATTTTCGCATTGTACACAAACACTCCTTGTATAGGTTTTGCGAGATTCGGACAGACAAGTCTCCGAACAAAATTCCTTCTTGCCATTCTGTGTAGGAAGAACATACTTTAATGGTAGTTTAGTCTCTCCGCACCACGTGCATGGAACGTTCTTCAATTTTGGTGGTCTACCTGGACCTACAACAAAGAAAGATTCAAAACTTCTGTTTATTATAAAGACATCATCATCCCCATACAACACCGATTGTTACGTAAAATTTTCAGAAATGTTTCAACCTTTCACATCTCCTGTGCAACAATTCTGAAAGGATTCTGCAATATGTTTCATATGAAATGCTTTAACAGAAATGTTTCTACAATCTATCATATGCGATAAATTGAAAAATATATTTAAACAGAACAAAAAATCATCATGTTAAAATGGCTTCAAAATGCTTACTAAAAGTCATTTTTTGATCAATCACGAGTCAGTTTAACATCATTTTAATATTATCATGAGTTGTTTACTTTAATTGCGAAAACTTTTGTAGGAATGAATAAACTTTATAAAAATATATTTGTTTTTTTTTTAAAGTAGATATTTGTATGGAAAAGAAATAATGTCTTATGTATGTCGTAAACCTTCATAAATTTTTATCTTTGTATGACTGTCACTATTTTTCTACACATCCCTACAATCGAAATTTCATTTCAAATTATAAATTATACTATTACGTACAACATTGAATCGATTATAACTACGACTCGGTGCGATTACAAAAGATATATAAATAATATAAATATATAACTTGATTAGTTAAAAATTTTCGTTTTATTATATATTTTATCAAAAGGTTTATATTTTATTTTAATAAAATGATTTTATTTAATGAGAAATTTTTAAATGAAAATATATTAATAAATAATTCTTAAATACATTCTACTATTTTGCAATGCTCGCAATAGTTAACGAAATACAGACACTGATCGTTAACGATAGTCGAATAAGCGCTTAACGAATCCGTTCGGTCTACTAATGCTAAAATGTACGCTCATTGATGGCTCGGCACGCGGGCCGCGGGGAGTGAGAGTCCGTCCCATAGAGCGGCAATTGACAACGGAACGGAATTCGCGGAATCAACACAATTAAAATACTATTTTTATTATTACGTACTAGGATGGTTGTTATTTTAACATTTGAAATTCAATCAGGATAGGAATTCCCTAATGCAGTTGAAAATCCAAAAAAAATAACACCATACTTTTTAAAATTTTTCCAACAATTTGAATCCGAGCCACCGGAACACGGATAGACAGTAAAACACCTTTGTGGGCAAAATTCGACCGACGCTCTAATTCTTAACTAATTTTAAAGTTTTTTTTTTAATATGCTCAAAATTGAATGAACTAAAATTTACTAAAAGCCCATTTTGCGTAAATTTTGATTACGGTCCAAAGTAAACATTGCCGATCTAATGAAGTGAGCAAAAGAAATCAAAATTACACGATATAACGAATATTCATTGAACTGTAATCAAAATTTACACAGAATGGGCATATAACTCATCCAATATTGAGCAAATAAAAAAAAAACTTTAAAATTAATTAAGAATTACAGCGTCGGCTGAATTTTTCCGTTCAATGTGTGGGGCCTTGAAATTTAATATTGCTTTAAATGGGATTTTTTTTAAATATTCTTTTGACAGCTGATAGCTATCAATATTCTTGTAAACTTCACGAAAATAAAATTTTCAAAAGAAATTGGCAGCGTTACATAAGAGTACGTATTGCGATGGCAGTTAACAACTGTCTGAATAAAAAATACATAAGTAAGATTAAATTTATTTATTGCAACAAATATATTATAACAATTATTTTTTCAATAAAAACAATTAATTTTTTTATAATAAACATATAATTTGACTTTACAAAAAAAGGAATAAAAAAGAACTCACAAATGAGGATGCATTATAGACATTAATAATGATTTTTTAATTTGTTTATAGAGGATCTGCAGACTTGCAGAAATAAGAATTATCAACTCTTACGTACAGTCACACGCAAAAAAAAAACGATGAAGCAAAAAAAACCCTTTTTGCTTCAATGTTGAATAACTCGGTGAAAAAAAATCGTATAGAGGTCTATAAAAAAGCAAATTGAAGGCAAAGATTCACACTTTTGATTGCTGTAAATCACATTTTTGTGTGATCTTTACTTCATGCCACAGACATTTGTAAAATTTGTACAAAATTTTCATGTTTGACGGGTATCCATTTGTGTCCGTGTAGCTCCATATAGGATCAGTCAGATTGAAATATCAATTACAGATTTCGAAAGTAGAGATTTTAAGCTTTAAAAAGTTTTTTTAAACATCTCGTTACGATAATTTTTCACTAAGTTATTGCTATTTGAAAATATTCAAAATTTGTGCAAAAATTTAGTGGCCTGTTTTTTTTGGACGCTAAATCTTTGAACAAATTTTTAATATTTTCAAATAGCAATAACTTAGTGAAAAAACATCGTAGCGAGATGTTTAAAAAAGCCTTTTAAAGGTTGAAATCTCTACATTCAAAATCGGTAATTGATATTTCAATCTGACTGATCCTATATGGAGCTACACGGACACAAATGGATACCCGTCAAACATGAAAATTTTGTACAAATTTTACAAATGTCTGTGGCATGAAGTAAAGATCACACAAAAATGTGATTTACAGCAATCGAAAGTGTGAATCTTTACCTTCAATTTGCTTTTTTATAGAACTCTGTACGATTTTTTTTCACCGAGTTATTCAATATTGAAACAAAAAGGGTCGTTTTTGCTTCATCGTTTTTTTTTGCGTGTGAGTGTACATAGAGTACATGTAGATAATTCTTGTACATGTACATAATTCTTACTTCTGCAAGTCTGCAGATCCTCTATAAACAAATTAAAAAATCATTATTAATGTCTATAATGTATCCTCATTTGTGAGTTCCTTTTTATTCCTTTTTTTGTAAAGTCAAATTATATGTTTATTATAAAAAATTAATTGTTTTTATTGAAATAAGTATTTAGAAGTAAATTTAATAGTAATTTAACTTTAAAAGAATAATATAATTTGCATATTATTAGTTTAAAATATCTTATTCGATGATGTATTAATGATTTCATTAATTTAATCGTAGGAAGATAAAGCATCTTTTTCAAATTTTATTGTTAATTATAACTTTATATTTTTTTTGAGAAAAATACTGTTACTTCTAAACTTTTACACACTAAATAGGGATTATTTTACAATAAATTTATTTTTCAATGAAAAAGTTGAAAATTTCATTTTCAATCGCCTATATTCAGATTGGTAGCACTGTGTGTTGGCTCTGCCCCACCTCACAACACTAAGAGAGGGCGAGACCGAGGGGGATGTCCCCTCCTCGACTGTGCGAAAGACCCAGAGCACTGGTGGTCCGTATAACAAAGGTCACCCCTTTAGGGAAGGGCCAACCAGCCATGTTGGCCTACAGGCGTCCTGAAGCTGCACGCGTGCCCAGGGCGCCCCTGCGAACAGGATAATGAAGGATACCGGCGAGGATTTTAGTATATGCGAGTCTGACATATCCCTCGGTTCCGTGCCCGCGGAACTGAGGGTATGCGTAGGCATTTCCCTTGCCTTACAAAAAAAAAATGACACCAAAAAATACATCTTATGTGACGTAGAAAATACTTAAAATATCAACTGAGTATTGCAAGATTACGGTAAATATAAAAAAAAAGGAAGCCAAATAGATAATTTTATTTAATAAATTCATTAATATTTTCAATGCGTTAAAAATTAATATAAGATGACATAATAAACTAATATATAATATATAATACATGATAAAATCAGGGATCGGCATTATAGTAATATTTTTACCTTCGATTAACGATTACTTAGATAATCAGTAATCAAAATTGAAAATTAAAAAAGTAGATAGATAAAAAAACGAGCAAAAGAAAGATCTAATTTAAAAAAAAAAAAAAATATAATATTTCACTTTACATCACAAATTAATATTCGATGTCGTATAGATAACATGGAACGTTTCGACTATACTAAGTGTTCATCAGCCAAACTAAATCACAAAATTTTAAAATTAATACAAAATATTTAAATGTTGGATGAACTCTAAGAATAAAATTATAAAGTATATTTATGTCGCAATAAATGTTGTATAAATCGTCAAAAGACATTAAAAAATTACAAAGTGTATAGTCATATCGCAATAAAAATCATACAAATCGTCTAAAGATATCAAGACTATTTCATCATTGAACAGCGAGAAAAGGCAGAGTTTCTCGTCAAATAAAAAAGTAATCAATTAAATAATAAAAAAATATTTGACACTGATTATTGAGTAATGGAATTATTGAAAAATTTTAAATCTGATTACAGATTACTCCAGTTATTAAAAAATGATTTACATTCTGATTACTGAATCAAGTAATAAAAAAATTGATATTCTGATTACTGATTAATAAAGTAATTAAAAAATTATGTTTTTGATTACTTGATTAACCGAATAATTAAATATTTTTTCTCTTGATTATTGATTAATCGAGTAATTAAATATTTTTTTCCTTTTTTGATTACTGATTAATCAATTAATCGGAAAATTTTCGATTTTGATTACTGATTATTTAAGTAATCGTTAATCGAAGCTAAAAATATTAAAATATAAAATAAAATTAAAATTCAGAAGGTGATTAAAATTTTATAAACATAAACAAAATAAAGCATACAGCCACAACGCTAGATAAAATTTACGGGGTGGCACCCAGTTGGACACGGCTCAATTGGACACGAGCCACTCACAGCGCTTGAGACTACAAAACTCCTAAACACCGGTCGCTGTGATTGGTGGTGTCCAATCGAGCCGTGATCAATCGGGATCACCCCAGTAATTATATACCTAATATCATTATTTACCATTACAAAAATATATCTCGTAAAATACTCTTATTAATTATAATTGATTTGTTACAATAAAATAATAAAGTTGTCTTAGTCGTATTATTATAAACTATGTCTTGTTCTATAATCTTCAAAGGAATATAATTTTTATTCGTCCCGATTTTATAACAATATTCCAAAAAGTATTGTAAGAGAGAAGAAGTTCTTTATTCTTGAAAAGTAGTGCGCATATATAAACTTCCCAAAGCTATTAACAGATAGTAA